CTTTGTACCTAGTGGGGTTGGGAGAGGTGTTGGAGCCTATTTCTAGCGAAAGGTTTGGGTAAGAGGTGGGGTACCAACAGAAAAGTCGTGATATAATTTTAAGTCCACCTCGCCTGCTCCTAGTCTCAACCCATCTCAGTGTTTTAAAATTTCCCAGCTCAGATCCTCTGGGATTGGCTTTATGAAGAAAACTTGTATCTACAAATGTCTTTAAAAAAATCATTAAATTTCTACTAATCCAAAGCAGCAATGAGCTTTTAAATTGGATCAATAACTCGTGTTTTGTTTCTCTCACTGGGACAAATTAAGTTTCCAATAGAGAAAGAAACAACAGACAACAACTTAATCAATTGTTCTCACTTTTGTGAAGGCGACAAACTTTATTTGTTCTGCTACTCCTCACTATCTCTTCTCTGAGTTCAAAATAAAAACAGTCTAGGCCAAATGTATAAAACCACTAGCAATAAAAATATGTAATTCCTGCAGCTGCAGGACATTACCTCTCAAATCGTTCATGTGCCACCAGGCAATGAGCCTCAGTTCTGGACTTTACACTGGTGTCATCCATCAACTGTGAGCGTATCGTGTGTGTGGTCTGCTGTTTCAGCACTGGCCTCTTTGGTTCCCATACATCAGCCTCCTGACAGAAGTGAAGTGACATCTTGTGACATATGAGGCCACTTTTTCTGTGCTGCTGAAAGAACCAGAGCGAAACAGAGAAAGAAAGCTAGCTGGATAAATGCGATGATAGCCCTTACCACACAGAACAGAATTTTATTACACTTTTTTGTTTTGCAAGTGAAATATATTGAGGACTGCTGTCCAGAAATTAGGTGACAGTACAAGTTACTAAAATCTTACGGGTGTGGTGATTAAATGCAGAACTGTTGAGCAAACAGAGTTTGATTGGCCTGCTAATGGATGTTTGGAGCATTTGGCAGGCTGCAACACTCCTGGTTAATGTGATCTGAGGTAAAGCTCTGCCCACTGATATTCATTAAATCCAGAAAACTCTACTCTGCATTGATTTCTTCTCTTCTTACATATTGTAAGAGGGCTTTCATTCCCATCTCTGGTCAGCATGAAAACTATCAGACTGCAACAGCAATTCAATTGAACTCCAGTTTGCCTTGAAAAGCGAAAGCAAAAAGTCTGCAAAACAAGGTCTAAACGACAAGTATGAGGAACGAGCTAAAATCTAAAGTCATTGTCCCACAAAAAATCTGTTATGACCCAATTTTGGTGAGCCAGAGTGAACAGAAGCATTGGTTTGTTGTTCTTAGCTGACATGGGTAAATACCAGTCCGTTATATAATTTTTTCTTATGTCTCACTTTGCACTATTATTACAGTTCAATCAGAGATTTTATGAAAAACAGAGAGATAACAGCACTAATGCAGCTCAGATGGCAGAACTATTTGCAGACATTCCCCCTGTTGTGTTCATTACTGATTTGTGCTCACCAGCATGGCAGAACCATTTAACAGAAATATGGAGATTTTTTAATTTGTAGTCTCCAAATTGGTGCACAATCACAGAATTCAAAGCACTCAGATTTATTTTTGCTCCAATTTATGCAAACGCTATCAAGTTATCTGCTGAACACCACGTACTGTTCCAAATAATCATACATGCCAGAAAGTTCAGAAGCGATATGCAGACTTGGACAGACCACAGCATCAGGGATTATCCCCCAGAAGTACCAAGCTCTGTTGAATTTCCTGCAGCAAAACGTCTAAGCCTTCTCATCTCAAGCATACCCAGCAAACACATTACAAACTGTTCAGAATGATCTCTTGCCACACACAGCCTCCAATTTAAGCATTCATACGTTTTGTTTTCCTGCTTCACTGGCATCCAGTTTGCATTAAGACAAGAAGGATCCTGCAGAAGTCCATCAGGGAAAGGTCTACAACTTGCTAACATAAGGACCCAAAGACCTTCAGTCTGTATGTCTCTTAAAATTTTGTTAATTCTATAAAAAATATAAAAATAGTTGAGGAGTATGGGAATGTAACAAGCAGATCACAGTTTTCTTCTCTTTAACTCCTTTGCAGATCTGAGCTGACCTCTTTCATATTAATTTTTAAGATGCCTATACATATTCATTACTAAAACAAATGCTGGTTTGTTGAAGCAGGACTGGCAGAGCAGCATTTAAAAATGAACGGCATTGTAGAACACCTGAGAACTCATTTCACTCAGCTTTACAAGGCTATCTGTGCTTAGGTGCTCGCTGAGTGAACAATGACTTATATAAGCAGACCTCTTTAGAAAGCTGAAGAAATAGTTGAAGGACAGACTTTGAAAATTGCTGAAAACATTGTGAAAGCACTGAGTGCAAAGTCATTAGTGTTGCTGGTGTAGTGGTTGTTTAGGAGAGACCTTTGAAAGCAGAAAAAAGTAAAAGGTCACTGCAAGCCTAGGCGGCTACTAATTACAGTTCGACACACAAGGGCAATCTTTATGCTTATTTCTGTGCGTGTGTATGTGTGTCTAAATGACAACTTGAACTCTTCATTGTGTCTCATTTCAATGACCTGACATCAAACTTATGTAAACCTCAACGAAACAGTCTTTGTTGGATCAATGATAAGAATCTCCATTGCTAAAACTATGCTATTTCCATATCTCATTACAAACTGAATTAGAGATGCTAGATCCATTTTCTGGTCAGTGAATGTACCACACAAGTACTTTGAGGTCACAGAAACAACAACTCTTTTCCATGCAGATACTAAGAGTTGAGCACTCACAAGTCACAAGTGTTTGATGCAGAGAAAGCACAGAAAAATAATAAAGGTATTTAAAAGGAATATTATGTCCTAGTGCATCCCACAGCATGTATTTCAGCTGTGAGAGATCAAGAGAAAGTGAGACTTCAGCATAACAGGAAGGCTAAACAGAGTACAGGAAAGTCACTTGGTTTTATCCTCCTAAGTTTTCTTTTTTTCGGTCATGGAAAAAATGCTGGCAGCCTTTTGTAAATCTCAGAATTAAGATAAGGATCAACAACCTTCACAAAGTAAGAATATGAATCAGCAAGAATATGAATTCTGCAAACATTTTGACTTTATTTTGAAAATTGAAACTCCTGTTCCAAAGTGTGATTTAAGACTCTTTGACTCCTATTAAACAGAAATAGAATCTGTATCAGCAAGTCTGAAATTTTAAAAAAATCAATATCGGAAATTGGCCACAAAATTCTGATCAGCGTATTTCAGAATAGTAACGTAATCTAGTATGAAAAAGTTACATTACACTGCACAAAAGAAGGAACCAAAGCTCCTATGATGCTTCCCAACAGAAGTTTTATGTTCTTCCTCACCTGAGCCTAAAGAAAAGTTTCATAACGGTTTGAAGTGCTAGCCCATTGCTTAATGCATTTAATTCAAACCAAAAAACACAATCACCATGACTGCTGCTGATAAAACAGTTGTGTATTCTTACACTCAAATAGATGAATGGACATTTTTTTAAGTGAGACTTTTAGGTGTGTGTCAGATGGCTGTCAGTTTATGTCTCAGTCTAATTTGGGTTATGATGTCTGCTGTCTCATGAAAGATTTCACTCCATGTATTGCATAAGATTGCCTCTGAACAAGCAGATGTACCCATGTGTGTGTGATTTTCAAATTTAATTATTTTATGGGCAAATTAGATCACGAAAGTTGTTCCGGCACAGATTCATTGTCACGTTTTGGCAAAACGTGCACCAGCTGTGACTGCAAGCGTTTAGATTGCCAAGACTATGAAAGCATGTGCGAAGAGGAAGGAAGGTTTGTTTATTCATTGAGTTACAAGAAGGAAGAATAAAACAAAAAGTTGTGTCATGATTTCCAGATAATTTTGAGCATGAACTTGGTGATGTTCTTCCCAAAGCACGTCACATGTCACACCCCTCAGGGCTTCTGATTAAAATTATTTCTCAGCACCCCCCCCCCCACCCACCCGTTTTCTGTGCGCTAGGATGTCCTGTGGTGACAGGGCAGGATGATGTACGGTTTTGCTGCGAGCAGACGTGATGCTCTGGAGCTGTAAAAATACAGTTCTGAAAAAGATGGGCGCACAGATGCCTGCAGAGCATTTTTACAAACTTGCAGTATGCATGCATGCATGGATGCCTTTATGTGCAGTGACCCTAATGTTTGCATTCAGCTTAAAGCTGTGACATCACCACATCCAACCCATTAATCATCTGCAAAAGGGGAGTTCACTACATATGGAAAGAGAGGGAGAGGGAGCAAGAGAGCCTGCTGCTCCTGCAGGAATTATTTATGACCCAATCAGAACCGGGCTGTTTCCAATTCAACTTAAAACCAATCCATAAATTTAAGGGAGACAGTGGACGTATTGAACAGCTATGTCTTGTTCAACTTTTTCTTTCCATGACATGTCATTCCGTTTTCTTCTGTCTTCATTGTGTAACAAAAGCAGCTGCAGAGGTTAAGAGCAGGAATGGGATGACAATTTAAGTGTTTTCCAAATGCACCGTGTATGCGTGCGCATGCGTGTGTGCGTTGAAGGCAGAGAATAAGTATTGCCCTGTTATCACCATCCCAGCTGTTTGAGTGAATGCCTATTGCAACTGGTGCACACCCTCACTTTCTCTCTCTCTCTCTCTCACACACACACACACACACAAAGTAGGACTCTTTAGGGCAAAGGAAGTGAGTTCAGTTCTGGAAAAACTTGGGGAAACTGGAAAACTGTTTATTTTTGCAGAGTGGATTAAGTCTCAGATTTATTTAAATCAGACTACTGCTGATCACACAGTAGTCTGATTATGGTACTAAAGTGCCATTATCAACCTTTTCATGTCAGAACATGCCTTCTGCAAATATAACCAAACTCCACAAGTTCAGTGCTTATTTTGGTGCGATCCAAGTGATAATACATAATAAATCCGAGAGGGAAAAAAATGCTTAATGAAAACTTAATAACTGAACCTTCCTCCACTACCAAAACACACAAGAGCGCCTCAATCAGCGTGATACTCACTCGAGTCAGAATGTTCTTGACTAGCAGTCCGTCCGACAGTGAATGTCCTCAGCCTGCGTCCGGTGGACATAAACAACTTTTCTTCCGAAACAGCAACAGCGCTAAGAGCCACGGACTGTCCTCCTGGCTCGGTGCTCGAGTTCTGCTCCTCGTCACCAGAACCTCGTCCAGTCCTCGCGCAGCAGATCCGAACCCACTGAACGCCTCCTGGTGGCTCGCGGCTCCGCTCTCGCTCGGAGTGCGTTTGGTTCGGTCACCGTCAGAGCCCGGTCCGCTGCTCTGTTCGTTCTGGGAAGGCAGGCGGCGCTTTCCTGAGCACCGACAGACTTTGCTGCTCGTCCACAAAGGTTCAGCAGAGGAAGGAAGGGCAGGGGCTCAGATGGAGGGGAGAGCTTTTATTTTTCAGCTCCTCGCGGTGGCATGTTTATGACTTCTAAGCATCAGAGCTGAATGCTGATGCTCTTCTCTGTGCTCTTGGGAATAGTAAAATGTGTTTTCATAGCAACTTTTATTATAATCCAAATACAATTTAGATTTAGTTGGATTTGTTTGTTTGTTCTGCACAGCAGAGTCCACAGTACTCAAACTGAGTTGGGGGATTTCCAAAGTTCTGGGTCCAGGGACCATATGGACACATAAATGTAATGTAGATAGTGGTGCCTTCCTAGTTGTATTAAAGTCACATTAATTTGACAAAAAAAAAAAAAATTATTCCTAATTGTCTCCTTTTATTCTCACTATATACTGCTTAACCTTATGACCTCCTGTGACATCAGTAATTAGGTGTTCAGCATGATTCAAAAAATTCAATTTTGGAAAATTGCATGTGGAAATGCATCATTTCTTTTTCATTGCTTTGACCCTGCTTCAATTATACACTTGCTGAAAAGGAAACACATTTCTGGCTATGTTTCTTGAATGTATTTGTATCTGTTTAGTTTATTTAAATGGATTTTTGTGACATTAATTAGGATTTTTTTTTTCTACTGTATAGAAGGAATATCCCCAAAACCCTGGTCTAAATAATTTACGACTAAAACTGGATAAAAATGAAAAGTATTCATTATCATTTAAGATTAAACCCGTAAAAGCCTTAAATCAGTCAGTTAGCCACTTCTGTGAACCTCTGCTCCAATCTGGTAACAAACTTCAGAAACTCAATATAGGGTCCCTCTGTTCATCACAATACACCACCACCTGCCTGATTCGTCAGTGAAAGATGATCTTCAGATAGGCTTCGGAGAGCTAATTTGTGAGAAGAAAGTATGGCTCAGTTTTCATGAGGTCTTTATTTGGAAAAATCCCTGAAACAGCTGCCAACGTTTGTGTGTACTAAAGGCGGGCAAGACTGAGTTGTCATTATTTCAGTGTTCTCTGTTTTTAATCAAATGTATCCAACAGTCATGGTTCGAATCAGATTTATATCATAATGTTTTTTCATATCCTTACCACAAATTAAAGATTAATGTCTCAGGCTCCCTTATTTGCTCTAATTTGATCTAAATCTTCTTCTGCTGCTTCGCTTGTTCATTAAGAAAATGACCCTAAAAGTACAGAGTCGGTCCTCCATTTAAAAGAACTCGTATTCAAATTAACTCTTTTATCTGGTTCCAAGGGATTTCTCCTGTTTCTTTTGAGCGATTTTTTATGAGTTATCATGCAATTAAATAACTCATTAGGATAGAAACATACGCAAGACAGATACGGTTCAAAAGAGATTTTAGTCATCTGCACTTTTGGGGTGAAAATAAAACCCAGGTAAATTGGGGGGAAAAAGTGTGAAGAAAGTGATGTGTTCATTATGTTTTAATACGCTGCAGCCTTCACGGCTTCACCCTGTGCTTCTGATGTTCCCAGTGTCTCGGGAGAAGGATGCTCAGAAATCTTGTCACCGCTGAACTCTGGCTGACCTCCTCTTCTGTAAAAATACAAGAGAGCAATTTATTTTCAGCACCAATGACAACTACGTAAGGCCTCCTCACCACCTTCCTCCTTCCTCTCGTCTTCCTGATTTTCTCGACACTCGTCTTTTTTCTTTCACTTCCACCTCTGCTCCTGCCTAATCCCACCCCGACATCCTGCCCCCCGCCTCCATCTCTTTTGTAGATCCCATTCTCCTTTAAATCATCACCATGGTTCATTTCAACTTCAAGCTTGGGCAGGCTGCAACGGTAATATGATTTCCAGCTGAAATGAAACGTGCAAAATGTGCTCCGGCCTCCCCTCAGCCCCAGTGGGCTCCCATTTGTGTCCATTTCATCTGACTGAGGTGGAGAAAGATCTTTATTTTATATATTTTTATAACAATATCTTTATTCCATATACATTTTTGATTTCTTCCAAATCGCTAAAGATTTGATTTGAACATTTGTTTCACAATCCAGCATCACAAACACTTCACTAGTTTATCTTCTTACACAGTGTGAAAGGCCGTGAGTGCAGCGTTGCAGCGCAGTGGGAGCACAAATCTCTGAGCTCACTGGTGTATCATAAAATAACTCTTTGCTCTCAACAACCAGGCGTGCTTTGTGCAAAAGCCTCTGTTTATTTCACAGAGAGAAACCTGCTCCTGGGTGGGCTACACTGCAAGCACCAAGAAGGTTTTGGGTTCAAATCCCAGTCTGAAGTCTTTCTGCAGGAAGTTTGCATGTTCTATCCCTGTAAACTGGGTTATTTCCTGCTACTGTGGGCTCCTCCCACTCTTCAAAATATTGGACTGCTGGGTTAATTGGTCTTCATTAACTGTCCCACACAACTGTGATGGACAGATGACCAGCTCAGGGTTTACCTCTCTCCTTTCACCTAATCACCTTTCGCTCACTGAGTCGTAGCGAACTAGAATATGTGATGCAACAAGGCTCATTCATCAGATTAAAAGAGTCCTTTGAAAATGAAGACCTTTAAGCAGGTTTCAATACTTTCACTTCTGCTCTGAAATATTCTTGTTGCTTCAATGTAATAATCTAATCTTAAATGTTGTGTCTTATTTAGCTGTAAGTGGTAACTCTTCACAATCAAGAGAAATAAAAATTGAAAACATCAGTCTATTTGTAATTTTTGCTGTCGTCCTTTGTCCAGTCTATTTGTAATCCTTAGGCTATGTAATGTGTTTAACTTGGTTATTAAAATAGCAAAATAAATGAACTTTTCAAGAACATGCTTGTATTGAATCGACAAGTGCAGCTAAAGGAGGTTCGACAAAGTATTGACTCACAGGATTTAACATAGCTCACCTTATGAATTCACTCAGAATCTCAGAAAAAAATATATTTGAAAGGTAAAAATGAAAAAAACATGAGGGGTGTTCATACTTTTTTGAGGCACTGAGCAGACATGCAGAATAAATAAAGCGTGCCTGCCATGTTGCACGACTCTTGCTGTTACAGCTCCATAAAACAGGGTATAACAGACTAATGGAGCATTCTTCACAGTCATGCCTCAGCAGAAACACTATACTGCCGAGCTTTGTTTCCAATCTGCTTTGCTGTGTCTATGTGAAGGCCAAAAGCTCAGATCATGTGACTCACACATGCTTTGTCCCCTCAGGGTTTTCATCCAGCTCCAGACACCTGACCAGTGTCCGACCCTCAGCCTCAACCTGATCCAGAAATATCAAAGAGCTTCCAGCAATACCTGTGAAATATTCACATGAAAGTGACAACATTCCTCTGATACGTTTTATTTTTTAGTGCAATTCTCTTATCCACCCTTTAGCAGCTCATGCATCATTTACCAGTGGATGAATTTTAGCTGATCAATAAAGAATGAAGCTCAAAGTGCATAAAGATGGAGTGTGGCAAACAATAAAACTTATGTAATTGTCTTTGTTTGATTCTGTTAAAAATACATCACGAACTACAACATCCCTGTTCAGTTCCTGGCTCAAGTTCTTTTGCAAGCCCAGCAATACAAGCAAAGGTCGTTCTGCATTTCTGTAATAACCAAATCATTAAAGGGCAACATGGCATAAAACACTTTATTCGCTCAGATTCCTGCTCATCCAATTTGAGCTCGTACAGTATTAAATTCTTTATCTTGGAGCAGAAGCAGCACGGCTGCCGAGGAGGAAATAAGTGGGGCAGAAAACTCTTCATCTTTGTTTTGATGCTTCTGTCTGCTCACAATCTCTCATCTCTTAGGTGTCAAGGATGGTCTTGTAAACAGTTGTGACGGCTCAGCTTCTGTCTAATTCTGAGAAATTCTTCATCTTCCATTGCGTTCAGGCGCTCTCTCACTACCCGCTCACTGAAGATGATTATTTAATACCGCTCTTCCACACATGCTCATTAACAGAGGGCCTGCGCAACAAAAACTCTGCATAGATAATGTGTTCAGTCGCCAGCCGCCACTTTGATCTTTTCATTCACTGTCCTCTCACGCACTCGCAAATGTTTCAAATACCGTTCCATATGCTCGTCAGACCCCCACAGAACTGATACTACAGCTGAACTCTGACCTAAAAAAAAAACCTGCATGCAGTGAAAGTAGTGAAGACAGCCCTCAAATATGCTCTTTCTGTTCCATGTTCAGTGCAGTTTACTCAGTGATACCAAGCTAACCAGAAGCATGTTTGTTCCCTTTGAAAAGGCTGAAGACTGATGGAAACAGTGGACATTTTAGACATGGGCCATATGGTTCATCGCCTACAGTGACAATTTGTCACAAGCCCTACAAAAATACCTCACAAAAGAAAAATGGTGCACTGGATTATAATACGCTCCCTTTGCTTTTTGTGTTTTCTGTTCGCCATTTGATGATATCTAGCTCAAAATCTAAAAGAGAAAGGTCATGCTTGAACTAAATTTTTCCGCATTTCTTTAAAACACAGAATGAGATTTATAAAAAGCTACAGAGTATTTACAGCCTGTTCAGCATCAAGACAGCTGTAGATTGACAGAGTTTGTGTCCAATGAGGGTTTTTGATGACGTCGCATTCACGCCAGCACCACAACAACGACAGCGTGAAAGCACGTTTGATGCTAACTCGGTTTAGTCTGATCATAATGTAAACAATCTTGACCATGTCATATGTTTATTTCCTTATTTTCTGAGGACAATACATTAAATATCTGCTTTTATCCGAATTCCTTTTCTGGAGAAATGATGAGCTGTAGGGCACCAACAAATTATCTATACATGTCTTTGGAAGCAAAGCAAACAGACAAATCATGCCTGAAAGGTAGTTTTAAGTTCAATTTTAACAAGTTTTTGATCAAAGGAGTGAAGTGTCTCACTTGCACTCGAATGTAGTGTTCATACATTGCGTTTCGACATCTGTTTTTCTTGTTAGGCAGTGCTCTTTTCTGGTTGGCTGAG